TACCACCTCACCCCAGTTAGAATGGCTATAATCAAGAACTCTAATAACAACAGATGCTGGAGGGGATGTGGCCAAAAGGGAACCCTACTGCATTGTTGGTGGGAGTGTAAACTTGTTCAATCACTTTGGAAAGTAGTACGGAGGTTCCTCAGAAGACTCCACATAGAGCTCCCCTATGACCCAGCAATCCCACTTTTGGGCATTTACCCAAACTATCAAAAACAAGGCCATACTAAAGCTACCAGCACAATTATGTTTATTGCAGCATTATTTACCATAGCTAAGATGTGAAGGCAACCCAGATGCCCCTCAGTAGATGAATGGATCAAGAAAATATGGTATATTTATACAATGGAATTCTATGCCTCCATCAGAAACAATGACATCACTCCATTTGTTACAAATTGGAAAGACTTAGAAAAAATTATACTAAGTGAAGTAAGCTAGGCCCAAGGAAACATAGGTCCCATGGTTTCCCTTATTTGCAATAACTAGTATAAGTCTAGGACAAGCAGAAAAAGTCAAAAGCTATGTACATATGACCATATAAGATAATGTTAAGTGAAATGAACCCCACAATAGGGACACAAGTGTTTTTTTCTTTCTTGCTATTATTTTTAATGTATTTAAAATGTATTATGTGATTTTTTTTGTTTCTTTTGTATGTTACTCCCCCATGGTATAACCCCTGTTTTCACTGTATTTGATATTGGTGCCCTGCATCTTTTATATACATTTTTCTAATTTAGGGAGGGGAAGGGAAATAACAAAATGCTTAAATAAGGATACAGGTTGATCATCTTTAACAATGATATGTACAAGACACTATATTGAAAACAAACTTTACAACTTGGGGTTCAGGAGGGAGGAGTTGGGGAGGTGGGTTGGGAAGGGATGGTAAGGGAAAAACAAAGGAGGGAGTAACAATGCTCAATAGGAAATGTATTCATTACCTTACTCCTGTAACTGTAACCCCTCCATACAGTATTTTTACAATAAAAAACATGTATTTAAAAAAAGAGACCTCAAGTTCTCTTCTCCTGCCACTAACTGGGCAACTGTGTGACAGGGTTGTCTGGCCTTTGAGAAATGAAGGTATTAGTCCAGCTGGTAACAAAAATCTATTTCAGTTTCAAAGGCAAGGGTTTGTCCCTTATAAAAGAATATTACTGGTGCCAGTGGCTCACATCTGTAACCCTAACTACTCAGGAGGTTGACATCTGACTATCAAGGTTTGAAGCCAGTCTTGGCAGGAAAGTCTGTGAGCTTCTTATCTCTAATAAACAAGCAAAAAGTCAGATGTGGAACTGTAGCTCAAACACCAGCCTTGAGCAAAAAAATAATCCCTAAGAGACAGCACCCTGGCCCTGAGTTTAAGTTCTAGTACTGGCACGTGTACATATGTGTACATGTGCACACGTGTGCGTGCACACGTGTGTGCGCGCACACACACATACACACATTACTACCAGATCATAGTAGGGAAATTTTGTATCCTGAGTTGTTTTAACATCTGTGGATAGAGGCAGAGTGCTGTTATTAGAGCTAGAGGTTGAAGTAAGAACAATCAGATAAAAGTTCTGGGAAACAGTGTTGCTGCAAACCATGAGCACAGATTTTTACTTGTCCATACACCTTAAAATCTTTTTTTTGGCAACAGATGAAACAAGGAGAAATCACAGGATCTCTAAAGAATATGTAGCAATCATAGTGCACAATTCATGTTCCCCAATATAATACACATTTGCCATATCATCTTTGCTCATATTATTTTTTTCTACCCTGAATACATTCTCCCTTCCTACTTACAAAATTCTCTTTACCCCATTCCTAAGAGCTCCCATCAGGAGAAAATGGTTTTTATATATTTTGTGGTTATCGGTTATGGCCCTTAGTTCTTTCTACCTCCCAATGAACTTTAGATCCATTATGACTAGAATACAAACTCCTTGAAGGCAGAGTAAGTATAGGTCAAGTTTATCTATGTGGTCCTGGGCAAGCCTAACATATTGTAGGCACTCAATAAAAGTTTTCTGAATCAAACTGCACAGGGATTTTCAGATTACCTGCTAATGTGACAGCAATGGAGACTGAGTCATATCCCAAGGCATTTGTGGCATTGCACGTATAGAAACCCACATCAGCTTCCACTGGTGCCAAGATTTGTAAGGAGTCATCAGGCTGCAGGAGAATCCTGGAGGAAGAGAAAAGAAATTTAAACCTAGTTAAGTCAGCTGACTTTTCTTTTTGCCATTCAATATTGGGAAGACTGGTAGGGAGCTCAGGGGTTATGAGCAATATAGTACTTTAACAACTGAGAAACTAGCTAAGACATTCAGGAGTTTCATCTCTCTTGGTACTTCCATTGGTGTGATTCTGATGACAATACCAAACAAGAAAGTTTTGATTGCTTTTAAACATACTGCTTGCTTGATCTAAATACTACTACTAAATACTTCTAGTTGGAGTAGATAGCATATATTCACTAATTGCACATGACACGCACAACACCAGAGGCAAGGGAAGATGCTAGAACAAATGATTTAGGTAGATATTGAGGGAAGGCTTAATAAGGAAAACAAAAAGGTATAAAGAAGGCATAGGGCTTGCTTGGTAGCTGGAAAGTGGGTAGGATTTGATGTAATAGAAAGAAGCATCTGTGAAGGAGAAGAGAGAAGAAGTCTGAATGCAAATATTGATAAAGGATTACAATGCACACATTTGAGAGAAATTTTCTGTGTAACTCTCTCAGTTCTGTTGTCTTCATTAGCCTATAGGTATTCTAAGCACAACATGAAGTTTTTCTTTCTTGCTTTAATTCTCACAAAACTGCACAGGTCCCTTTGTAGAGAAGAATGACAGCAAAAATTGCTCTTTTGAGTCAGGGAGCAAAAATTTCAGAATGATTATTGTCTAGTTCAAACACTTTACCCAAAAAGAATTATAAAAATCAAACTGTGAATGCCTGCAATGAGTTTCAAAACATGTTCCAATTTCAGTTGAGTTTTCTTTCCTGGATTTATGCCATTTCTAGTAAGGACATGGCACATGAGAGTAGAGAGGCAGATTAGTGACTAATGGTGGCTCAAAGCCTATGCCTTTGTGCTTCTTAGGCTGACAGTAATTAACATGGGTATGCAGAAGTGGGGATCTAGAAAGGTCAGAGAGAAACTCAAAAGAGCTAGTACCCAACCCAGACAGGGCCTTAGGTCAACAGGCTATTCACAGAAATGGTTTTGTGACAACTTTTGAGCTTCTAGAGTCAGTTATTTCCATCTTAGTGATTCTTTCCACCTCTCTAGTTTGAAAAGGCTCAAAGAAGTGGTCACACAATATTATGTTAACATCCATCCCTAGGAAGCAAGTAGGCAATGAGGTAATTTCTCAAGAAGTGGGAGGAGATAGCCTAAGGTCAGAAAAAGTTGTAAAACTTGCTAAATTTAACACTACTAGTCATTGCTCCTGCCCCAGCAACATTTTCCCACTAGACAATTCTTTTTTATTTTTTCTTCACTCTTGTCCTTACTGGATCTTTGTAGACTATATTGTTTTAAGTTTAGCACACCTTCTGGGTATCTCTCAATTGTTCTGAAGTGAGTGACCAGTATAGCAATGGATCAGTCTCATCAGCTCTGCTTTTGGCCTTGGGCCTATTAAATTGCTATTTTTATCTAGGTCAGAAGAAATGTAAACCATAGGGGAAATAAAGCTTAAATCTAATGACTCAAGTTAGGTATGAACAATTCTGGTAAAAATGGAGAAGAAAAGGTAACACTTTTGTTAAAAGAGATTTTTGGATGATTTGTACTTGCTTCAGTACCACTGTACATTATCACCAGTATTATTATGAATAGGCAAACTTTTGTGGCACTGCGTAAGGACTGAAACAAGAAAGCTGCAGGGTATTGCAACAGAATCCATTCACTCATTCATTTATTCACCCATCAAACATCAACTGTTTCTAAAAGTCAAGCAATTACATGTTTACTTCAAAGATCCTAATAAGAGAAAGATGATTGTATTGTGTACTTATTTTTTAATAGACCACACAATACTTTAGGTAATAGCGGCAATAGTTCTTATCAGATGCAATGTAATCTTATTACAGGCAAAATAATGCAGTATTACTGCTAAGTCTCTTCAGGTGTTCAAGCTGTTTTAGATTAACCAAAACAAAAACTGACTTTATGATTTAAATCTTTATGATGTACTAAAATTATGTATGCATCCATAACAATTTCTAAACAAGAATAACAAAAGCAGGCTTCATTACATTTTAATAGACTTGACTACTCAGGATGATTGAATTTAATAGGTTACTATGAAGTTTCATCCCTAAGAAGGCAGAGATGAAAATTCGCTAAATCTCCTAAACCGTTAGGGAAGTTGCCTCCTTACAACTGTGGCATGTCTCTTTTTTTCTATAGAAAGGATTCTTAAAATACTTTCAGCAGGAGGCTCAAACAGTTCTGTTGAACTTTATTTTGGTTCTGCTACATTTAAGTAAAATGGCCATCGCAAATCTCTTCTATGGTTTAGCTTTCAACTTCTAAAACTCAGTTGAAGTATATTTTCTGCTCAGCAGCAGGAATTGTTACACTAAGACAGATAACTTTCAAGCCATCCTTTGGTATATTTCTAACATCTCTTGTTGATAATACAGATTGGACACCTGGTGGTGGTGAATTAAACGTGTGTGTGGCTAGAAGGAGATTATGAAGGAGTAGGAAGACACATAATATTGGCCACTGTTCCAGTTTATTAGATTTTTTTTTGCATGGAACTAATGAATGTATCTGATCTCAAGTAGAGGGTAGAAATTCCTTTCTTATATGGGGCTTGAACCATTTTCTAGGTGGGGTTAACTTTTGTAACTCAGTTTTGCTGGGCAATGGCATTGCTAAGTGAGACACAAAGCTTTTTGCCCAAGTCTGAAGCTTGAAAAAGTATTGCTACAGAAGTAGTGAAGAGAAAAGAGGAAATCCATAACCATAAGGATTTAAACCAGGATACAAGCAGTGAAAATAAAAAGAAAGAACAGAGATCACAAGATTTAACATTTGTGTATGATTTTATCCTATAAACTATGTATAGAAAAACAAAGAAGCTATACTCTTTGCCTTTATAAAAATCTTAAATATTTTTCTAAGGAAAAAAAAACCCTACATGGACCTGAACTGGTCATTTGTTGTGCTTATTTATAGTCATAAAAATAAGCTCTAGAGCTCAAAGGTAGTTAAGCTACTTGGAGACTGAGTCAGAGTTTGAATCACAATTTCTTGTTTTTGGCTCAGCACTTTTTCTCTACTTTGGGGTCTTTGGGGACACTGAAAGATTCAATTGTTTAATCATGCTTTATTTTGTAGTCAGAAACTGCCCATAAGTGTGTCATAGGCCATCTGGACATTCTATTTCTTTCCCTAACAATCTGTTAAAGCACTAGTCCTTTTAGAGGTAAGGAAAAATTTAGCTCCTATTGTTGCTACATTCTGTCCATAAAATTGGTAGCTTACATTATGGAATTTTATTCATCCATTAGAAAGGATGATAATATACAGTTGTAAAGAAATGGAAAGAAGTGGAAAAATTATATTAAGTAAATCAGTCCCAGAGAGATAAAGGTTGAATGTTTTCCTTCATAAATAGAAGTGAGAATTAGCTTATAAACTTATAAATAAATAGAATGGGTGGTATGTGAGTGTATACAAATGTATTAACCAAAATATGGTAGATTCAAGGGAGAACTCAAACAGTGTAATTCCTTAGAAAGGCAAAGTAGAAGCTCAACAAAATACCAGGAAATGGGAACTTGGAAAGGGGTGGGGTTATCAGGAGAGAGGTAGATGAATGAAAAGGAGATGTAGGGAGAGTGCAGTCAAGAATTCAATGTACATATATATATATGTCTGTGTGTGTGTGTGTGTGTGTGTGTGTGTGTGTGTGACATTTTCTTGATCCATTCTTCTACTTAAGGACATCTGGAATTCTATGCCTTCATCAGAAACAATGACACTGTCCCATTTGTTGGGAAATTGGAAAGAATTGGAAAAAATAAAATTAAGTGAAGTATGCCAGACCCAAAGAAACATAGGTCCCATGGTTTCCCTTATTTGCAATAATTAGTATACATCTAGAATAATCTTACCAAACAAGCAGAAAAGGCCAAAAGCTATGTACATACCATATAAGATGATGCTAAGTGAAATGAACCCCAAAATATGGACACAGAGGTTTTTTCTTTGTTGCTGTTGTTTTTAATGGACTATGTGATTTTTTTTTGTTTCTTTTGGATGCTCTTCCCCCTATGGTATAAGCCCTCTTGTCACTGTATTTGATTCTGGTGCCCTGCATCTTCTATATACATTTTTCTAATTTGACGAGGGGAAGGGAAATAACAAAATGCTGAAACAAAGATACAGGTTGATCCATTGAAACATGAGACATATAAGACACTATAATGAAAATGAACTTTACAACTTGGCCGGGGAGGGTGGGGAGGCCAGGAGGGAAGGGATAGTAGGGAAAAAACAAAGGAGGGGGTAAAAATGCTTCATAGGAAATGTACTCATTACCTTACTCAAGTAACCATAACCCCTCTGTACAGTATCTTTACAATAAAAATATTTAAAAAAAGAATTCAATGTATAACCTACAAAATTAAGTGAGAGAAGAGGTGGGTTGAGAGGGATGGGTGACAAGGTTGAAAGGGGTGACATTGATCAAGACGCACTGTACTCATAAACAGCTTTGTTAAATCACAACTCCTTTCCATACTTGCTGAAAGGTAATAAAACAATATATAAATATGATACACAAAAGAAACGAAATTTGTAGCTAGGAGTTTGGAGCTACCAGTAGGGAAAGCAGGAGTTTTGGAGAGGGTTTTCATGTAGGCCTCTCTAGGAAGCATGAGAAGACAAATGGAAATGGCTTGCTGAAGAGACTGAAGTTTTATGTTAGCCTCTCCATCTAGCCAGGCCAGAGGGAGAAGGATTCCTGGAAACAAAACAAAACAAAACATTTTCTTTGTATTTCAGGAATCTACTCTATTAATTTTAACTTAATTTGTTAGTAGCTGATTTCTGTCAGCTTGTGTTTAGGATGCAAATTTGACAGGCCTGTTTCAGAATGTGTAGGAACAGAAACATAGTGCCACCTTCCAAGTAAAACCAGAATGATTTCTTGGGGGTTGTT